AAATTTATTTTTTAAAAAGTTAGGTTAGAACTAAATTGATATAATATTTAAACTTTTGAGATTAAAATTGTTATAATACCATGCATCGTCGGACGTTTATTTTATTTTTAACGGAGAAGTGATTTCATTAGTGAGTTACTTATAACTTTTTAAAACTAGATAATCTGTTTATAACTTTTCAAATAACTGAATAACTTAGAGTGTATTTTAGCCTAATCAAGAAAGTTATCGCGTTTGTGTCTTCCATTACACTGACGTTTTCCCTTGTCTGCTGGAGGCAGACTTGGGATTCTGCTATTTATTTCGCTTCCAGCAGCTTTTGCCATTGAGATGCCATTTTTGTTCACCTTTTACTGCAACGGCGAGTCCTTTTTTATTTTCTTTATCGTTGTATTTGTATTAATTGTTTTGGATTTTGGTGGCTAACAATGAGTGGTTCCCTGATTCTACACACAATTATTGCCAGTTCTAACTTGCCGACACTGGCCAGAGCCTTGTCTTTCTTTCCTCAGCCACGTCTTAATCTTCTCATTTAAACAAACCACGAGTCCAAAAAGGTCGATGTAATTATTTCACTAAGTTTTTATTTAGGACAAAATGATGAGTCATTTTAATATACATATATATAGATTATTGGACTTAAATATTTGAAAGAATGATAATGTGATTTAACATAATGATACTTTTAGTAAATTGTAAGATTGATAATTCTCGTTTAAGTGTCATACATTTTTTCTCATTAAATTCAAAAAATTTAATATTTGATCAATTTAATTTTTACCCATAATATATTCAGTGTACTCAGCCGCGCCCATACCGTGCACGCATATATAGAAGACTGCGTGAAAGACATTATTCTAGTAACTGCCCTAAAAGGGTCCTATAAACAACAGACTTGATTCGGTATAGACAGTAGGAAGCAGAATGCCTGAGCCTAGTACTGCGTCGGCGGCTGAGTTGTTATCCTTCTTTGTAATCGACATTTCAAGAAAAAAAGAAAACAGATTGATTTCAAAAAGCAAAATCATTGCAGTCAAAGACGATAAAAGCAAAGGCAGAAAACCCATCACGGGGGGCCGATTAGAATTGTAAAAGAAAAACCATAACCAAAGGGACTTGGCACGAACACGACAATGAAGGTTCTCATTACGAGCAAAAACCCTTTTGACAAAATAACTTAAGACTTGAGGTTTCTTCTGGAAAACAGCGGGGGCGTGTCACTGCCTGACCCTGTCTTTCTCGGATTTGTTTTTCTTTTTCTTTTTTTAAAAAAGAAGAAGCTTTAGGGTTTGGAGAGAACAAAAAGTGAATGGAGCAGTGAAAAAAGGGAGGATGATGGGCATCGATTTGAAGCAACATTTTTGGTAGTGGGGAACATCAGCTTTTGCTTTTTCTCCAGTTTCTCTGCCCTTTCCGCTCGCTAAATTTGGCGTTTCTTTTGGTGTAAGCGACTTTTCTTGTTCCCTCTTTATAATTTAACGTGCATGGGAGATCCCTCAATGTGCTAAGTGTCCTTAATTAATACGATAATCAAAAGAATCAATGATTGTTTTTTAAATTAATAAACTAATATGTTACATATCTTGATCTCAAAATCATTAAATATTTTAATAACTGCTACTGAGTGCTTATAGTCAATGGTATTAGTAATAATTATTTTTGGTTTTGATTAAAGAGAGATGAGGTACTTCTAGTCGACACGTGGATTCTACACGTTGGAAAAGATTTTGACTGAACAATGTTAGGGGGGAAAATGCCTGTGTTTCATTATTTTTCGTGTGCTTACAAAGTTTTGTTGACTGCATGCCTCCATGATTTTAACTGTCGGTAATTTTGGTATGTACTATAACATCCACTTTACTTTTTAAAATTTGTAATTTCTTAATTTTTTGGCATTATACTTCACTAATTTAACATGTCGGATAAGATAAACATTTGATGAACATTAGAGTGGTATGTTGTATTCTTCCATATTTATTGTCAAATCGAAACCTTTGGAAGTCTAAGTATGAGGTACATTATGAAGATCGAAAAGCATGAAATAAACATTTCTATTCGAATCCAAAATAAAAAAATGAAAAAAAAATACCAAAAGAAAAACATTATGGACGAAGCTATAGGGACCCATTGATTCCTACACCGCAGACATCCAAGCGTTTGGCGTCTATATAAAATGACTAATTTGTTTTGAAAGAAAAGAAAGTGAACTATTCTTTGCTTAAAAAATTTAATCTCAGTTATTAAATTTAATTAATAAAACAATCCAAAAATATATTAAAAAAAACAATTTATAGGTTTTATACAATATATATATATATATATATGGAAATCTTATTAGAACTTGTCGCATAGCAACAACGTGTACAGATGAGATTGATATTATTTTTTGTTATCCTCTAATTCTAAGGCTTCATCATGATTAATCTAGATCGATTCGGGTCGTACATCTGGTTTTGGTGAGTAAGTCTCCTAGCGGAGATTATCTGCATATACAAGGACTCAAATCTGAGAACTTACTTAAATGATATTAAGCTGCCTACCAATTGAACCGACCTTGTACTGTTATTACAATCTATCATCTCATTAACTATATTCAAGGGATATTTATTTAGTGGGTAAATTAAAGAGATCATCACTCAAATTTCTTTTCACTTCTGTTTTGGTCACTAAATTTAAAAAAAATTATCACTCGGTTATGATATTGCATATATTTTAGTTACTCCTCTACTGAACAATTAACAACACTATGACATGGAAAATGAGACCAAAACAATATTGTTTAAAAAACAACTTGTACTTCAAAATAACGTCGTTTTGAATTTCTACATATCCTTTTTTCATCTTTTTCTCTCAAGGTTCAGGTTTGATGCCTATTTGAAGAAAAACAAGTGTGATAAGACTTGATTTGTTTAATGAATTCAAGGGTGACTAAGTTTGGGTCTGGGAAAGGAAAAAGATAGTTTAGAGTTTAGAAAAATTATTTTATAGTGTTCACAACAAGGATGAGATCCAAAGGTTTTGCCATTAGAGGTGATGAATTGAACCGAATATAGTGTCATTAGAGATGATGTCCCTAGTTGCTAATGATCCTAGTTGATGACAATGCCATTAGAGATAAATTGGATTTCAGAAAAGACATAATGGTATAGGTGTGAATAGGCATGCGATTAATGATTGATTTAAGATGAGAGATGATAGAATAGAGATAAGATGCCAGGTGGTAAGAGGATAATCGGTGGAGAATCCAATTGGATTAAAAATATTAATATTAATAAAATATTTGTCATTGCCTACATGCTAACTCAAAAATTAATAAAATTGACATGTTACCATATATTTAGAGAGATAACTATGAAGTGACCAAAAAATTGATCTTTAAAATTGAGTAATAATATTAAAAATTTTCCCAAGTTTAATGACTATAACAAGTGCGAGAAATTGAATGATGATGTGTGTAGTTTATCCTTGTTTATAAGGCATTCAATGAGGGTTTTATTTTCTTATAAATAAGATGTTAAATTGTGGTTTATTGATAGTGCGTAAGTAGCTCATCAAATATAAATCCATCATTACTAACAATATCGTCTCTTGCCAGTTAAACCTTAGTTTACCAGCGAAAACAGGATTATTAGAATTCTGAGATCTCGTATTCAAATTTCACTATGAATTTTTTGCTAATATATTTTGGTTGAAATCTTATTATGTATATGTATTGTCACTATTCATTTTAATTTAAAAACAGTATAATATACAAATAAAATTATTTCAGTAATTAAAGAAATTGATGTTGTTCGTAGAGATACGGGTTCGAATATCAATAATTACAAGGGTGATTAAACATTTATGGCCAACTGGTTGAGAAAATTTAAAACAAATATTATTTAGTAATAAGTTAGCTTAATAAATAAATATTAAAATTATTAATTATATCTTAATTATAATTTTAAAGAGAGTAATTATTTAATAATTTCATCCTTAAATTATTTATAGTTTACGTTACACGTTAATCATATTCATTGAACATTGATTTGGGACATGATTTTGAAACCTACATGTATTTTTTTTTATGTCAAAAGGTATGTTTTATGAAATCGATGCTTTTGTATATGAATGTCCATGAATTTGTCTAAATTCATTGCTTCAGGTACATACACTGTTTATTTTCAAAAAAGTACCTATACAGTGGTGTTAATTTCCAATCTATTGACAAAACATTGTATATAAAATCACACAATTAACATTTGACACGCACCTTTTCAACGAGAGGGATGCCGCAAATTACTACCATGTGTCACAAGCTACACGAACTACACACCTGTGAATCCTTGAACACAAGCAAACACCAAACATGAAACTGGCTGCCCATGAACCCCGTTGAGTCAAAGTCCAAACACAATGTAATGAATCGTGGTTTAATATTGCTAGATGACACGTGTACATGTCGGCCGCCCTGTCTACATATCAGCCCACCAACCAACCACGGCCAGTTATATCGTGAAAGCAAAGAGCTTTTGTTCTTTGATTTGCTTCTCCCAACAAAGTTCACTGCTAGCTAGAGCTAGTTAGTATCGTGGGTAAACCACCTATGTGGTCATTCACCTATTACATAGCTTATGTTTTGGTCATCAAACTATTTTTTTTTCAAAATTATACCTAATATTACATTTTAGTTCTGTTTTGGTTATACTTCGTTAAAATATTAACATTGATACCAACATGTCATTTTTATTGTTTTTAATGCTGACTTGGCATTTCTATTATTTTTTAACAATGGGTGACAAAAGCATAACCAAAACATAGCATTAAGTATGATTTTGAAAACAATAATAGTTAGGTGACCAAAGTAGAAACTAAGTAATAGGTGGGAGACTAAATAGATAGTTTAGCCTAGTATTTTCGTATATAAATACGTGTTGTTACTCTTTCTGGTTATTTAAACCCCAAGCTGGCAGCTCATTTGTCTTCACTCCTGAAGTTCTTCACCAACAAATCTTCGAAAAATGGGGAGGCGAACCAGTTCTTCTTCATCTTCTATCGAGAGCAGCACCTGCTTTAATGGTGTTTCTTCTTCTTCTTGTTCCTCGCAGAGGGACCTTAGCACTGATCTCAGACTTGGTCTTAGCATTTCTTCTACCTCTCCTTCCTATGCAAGGTGTTTTGAGTACTTTAATTTCCTTTATTAATCTCTCTCGACAGTTCTTGCTTTTCTGCTAATGAGTGAGTTAAATCGTTAATTGCCTGCGTATGTCAGGGGGCGACCATCTCTGTTCAGGCAGGCGGTGGCAGTGGCGGAAGAAGAAAATGAGTGCAGCAGTGCAACTTTCTTTGTTAAGGTCTACATGGAGGGAATTCCAATTGGACGAAAATTGGACCTGTTGGTTCACGAGAATTACTATGATCTGATAAGGACTCTCGAGCTCATGTTCAACACTAACATTATCTGTTAAGTCTCCCTTTTCTGGAGTTTCTTTTTTTCTTTTTGGGAAAGATCGATACCCTTGTCGGGGTACTGATGTTCGATGACGTGCAGGGGCAGAGTCGGAGGCGGCCGAGGTGGACGGAGACCGGCACGAGAAATGCCACGTGTTAACATATGAAGACAAGGAAGGGGATTGGATGATGGTTGGTGATGTTCCGTGGGAGTAAGTAATTTAAACCTATTTTCTCTCCATTTTGTTTAAAATCAACTATATGATGATGATATTTTGTAATGCAATGTGTAGGATGTTCTTGTCAGCTGTTCAGAGATTGAAGATCACCAAGTGCTGAATTTTGTACAATTTTTTTCCTTTTCTGTTGATGTTTCTCGTGGAGTGAAAATGAATAGTTAGACATATAATATATAGGATGGGAGATGTGTAGGATTTTGAATGTACATTTGAACAGCCTATTATTATGAAACGAAATGTTTCAGGAGATTGTGATTCAACGTTACCAATTGCACTGTAGAGCTAATGGCTTTGGACTTAATATTAGGACTTCAATTTCATTCTCTTTTTTTGGTTCGAAACTTTCCATCTGGTGTATCATAGTTACATGATCTCCAACTATATCCAACTTCAAAACATTGCTTAAAAAATTGAACTTCCTTTCATTTAACCTAACATACGTTTGTAATTAATTTGGATTTTCTTCTTCTTTCTTTTGATATAAAGGTATTCCATTCCTAAGCTTAAAAGAAAGTAAAAGATTATAAACATCTAAAACCAGATATAGACTATATAGATTAATTTGTGGTGTGGAGGCTAAAAATTCTAAAAATATTTAATTGGGTGACAGTTGTTCATCTTTATTCCCTCATATTTCTGTAGGTAATGAGTTATAAAACTATTAGGAATTCCCCTAAAATCCTCCTCCTCCTCCTGCCATCTAAGTAAGGTTAATATATTTAGAATTTATCATAAAAAAGAGTGATGATGATTTATATGCCATCAATCAATTGATGATCTGGTTCGATTTGTATTTGTGATTTCTTTGTCATGTACCACATGTGCATTTTTTTTGAGAAAATTTAGATTTTTTTTAAAAAGTCTTAATTCTCAAAACGAGAGAACCTTTCTTATATTTATAGGTTATTTTTTATTGTGAATGTTTTGATATCTGTTACTAAAATTTTAGAAGCGTTTTGACTGTTGACTTTCAGTCGTTATCATGTTATCACTGTAATTTTGCAACGATTGATTTGATATCTTGTTGCCCATCGACTGGTTTCGCCAAGTGAGGGGGTCGCCAGGAATGAAGTAGGTGATTGGCGTTTTTGGTTTTCTAAATTTCTTGGTATTTGCTCGGCACTGGATGCTGAACTTTAGGGCACTTTCTACGCTCTTTTCTATGCTTGGGAGTATGGTGTCCGGAATGTGATAATTGAGGTGGACAGTTTGGAAGCTATTACTGTGTTGAAGGATAATTTCAAGGGGAATCACTTTCTTAAATGGCACTTGGATGAGCTTGGACGTTGAAATTGGAATGCGATTATACAACATATTTGGCGCGAGGGTAATAACATGACTGATACGCTGGCTAAGAGTGCAGGGGAGGAGAATTGTGTTGTTGTCGATGTATTTTGTTTCTCCGATATTACTATGGGTACTCTTTTCTCTGTTTAGGTTAGGAAGATTTTTAACGAGTCATATACTAATATTTTTCAATGTATGATATTATCTTAATGGAATCATACCTTTCACCAAAAATAAATAAATAAAACAACCCTATAGGGTCGGCCAATTTTTTTTAATAAAACGATCCTATAGAGTCATATCACAACCCATCAGGACCCTAATAAACATTAGGGTGATTAGTTGACTTATATTTGTGGGTTACATATCAGGTCAAAGCCAAAGGCCTACCAATCTGTTCGGCCTTTTCTGTTGGTAACATATTAGCCCATGTTCATGGTGCAACCGATTTCAACTAAAATAATAGGTCCAGAAACCAGTAATCTTTAGCGGTATCATTACGTGATCCATTGACCATTATCGACTAACAAGATAGCTCTATAAAGGGAAAAGAGGTAAGGGAGGGTTAGACTTTACAATCAAGAAGGAAACAAGAAGAAACGTGGTCCCGATCTTGAAGAATTATCACAAAACTTAACTGCCTTTTATAGATGCTCACTCGTCCCCATCAAAACACCATTTCTTCAACACATTTTCTAATGCCCCAAACGACCCATTTGTCCTTTGGATTTATTGCTTTTACTAAAATTAAATCGATTTCGTTTTCTCTTACCAAATCCTTGCTTGGAAAAGATTGCACTGCATGCAATCTCCCTTAACCACATGATAAGCTTCCAATAATACAAGCATTATAACCAACAGGCACGGCTACATCTTCAATTAATCTCCCTACTTTAATTAATGTTGTCGTTAGCCTTTTTGATTTCCTGCTTACATTAGTTGAGAGAAGTAGTTAAGTGACCAAAACAAAAATACATTGAAAGTTACTTGACTAAACATGTAGTTTACCGATAAATTAAAGCGTTGAAAGAATCGGTTGCATTGAAAGGTGCTACTGGCTGCCCACTCCCTTGCTGGCACGTCTGTTTTGCTTAACTGAATACCAAACGTTCACACATGGAATCCCTAATTTCAAGATTCTTATCTCTTTATCTCTTAACGCAAAGAAGTGAATTACCCACCCTATAGGTAAAGGTGACAGATTAACGGTTTGAAAGGCAATTTTCTACCAAAAATATCATTTTCATTTTTTTCGGTTTAACCAAACCATTATGTGGGCAATCCTTCCAATTCAATTTGTTATATTCGTTTATATCAAGATTCAAATCTCTAATCTTACTCAAAGGATCCAATGTCTCATATCACTAAATCAATTAATTATCGATTCAATCTCAATTATTTAATTATAATTATAGTTAACTAATAAAAGTACAATGAGAATGCTAATTGGATTTATATCTGACATAATTTATATAATTAATAACTCGAGTACGATTTTAACCTACTTTTATGACTCAAATATGAAATCTCAAAGTTTTCATAACATTAATTCTACCATTAAATTAAGGTCTCGTGGAAGAAAAAGAAAACACCAAGACTTTGTTCATATCTACAAGTATTCATCTATGTGTTTAGATATCAGTCTTGCTTATGAGGTCGCTCCCTTTTCAAAGTTCCTAAAAGGATATTAGCTCTTCAAGTTTGGTCCTACGGGAGGGCATAGCCGAGAGCCTGAACTTTTGGGATAAATTAAAGTCAGCCTCCCTATCTCATTTGCAATTGAAAAATGACAACAAAATGTAGCATCTCTAGAACGGAAAAGGAAATGGAAAAGAAGAAAAAAAAATATATAAAACATCGCTTTCTCACTTTCCATCGTACTTTATGAGTTTCTCACGGAACCCACCAAAACAGGGAATGTCTCCGGAAAGGCGGGTTAATATATAGTTAATATACGATGTTATCGGATATATTAAAAGATATTTAATAAATTTGGTTTAGCGCTACCGGAAATGTTGTCTAATGATAATGTAGTAGGTCTAAGTCATGAAAAAATATTAAAAAATTGTGCAACCGGTAAACTTAACTTGTCGGTTCGTGTCGATCCAAATTAAAAATGTGTCGATCCAAAACGATATAACATGTAAAACTATGACAAAACCAGTATTGAAATGATAAAACCGGTAAAGCGCTACCGAATACATTTAAAGTGTCGGTACTTTAATATAAGGATCGACACTTCGTGAATTTAAAAGAGAAGCAGTTTTAAGTCCTATAAAGTGTTGATACTTTTAAAAAATGTATCGATCCAAAATGATATACCAGGTAAAAATATGATAAAACCGGTAAGAAAATGATAAAACCGGTAAAACGTTACCAGATATATTGAAAGTGTCGATACTTTATATAAGGATCGACACTTTGTGAATTTAAAAGAGAAACAGTTTTAGCGCCTATAATGTGTAGATACTTTAAAAAAAATATATCGATCCACAACGATATAACAAGTAAAAATATGATAAAACATGTATCAAAATGATAAAACCGGTAAAATAATATCGGATATATTGAAAGTGTCGATACTTTCGTAAGTACGTGTAATAAATTATCGACACTTTCAAAGAAATAGGTAATTATCCTTTCGAAAGTATCGACACCTGACATAAAAGTATCGACACTTTTGTATTTATATCAATTAAATATAAATAACATATCCGATGAAAATATAAGCTAAATATCCTCTGAAAATAGATAGAACAGACGAGTTTTTGAAATCGAAGCGTAATTGTTGCTGCATTTCAGAAGGCGTTTCTAAAGTGAAGTTTGTTTGTTTGTTGCTGCAGTCGAATCGAAAAGTATGTTGTCGAAACCCTAATTTTTTATTATTACAGTAATCGTGATAGGGTTTTTATGTGTTATTTGGGGTTTTGGAATAAAGAAGCATTTGGGATCGATTGCAGGTAGAAAGTGATATTCAAGGAAAAATATAAATGTCGATACTTTTATTAAATATTATAGGTAGAAAATGATATTATAGGTTGTATAAATGTGCCAACACATTTTGGTGTGGCCATTCAAATTCTTTTGAAGAAAACCGTTTTACCACAAGAGTAGTTATCTATATTTGTATATTGAATAAAGTGTATGTAACAAAATAATTTGATTTGCGTAAACTGATATATGAAGGAAAAATGGAGTCAATGGGTTGGAAAATTGTTGGTGGAGCAGATGACTTTGAAATTGAGGTCGAGACTCGAAAGCAACCAAAGGGTAGATATATGTACTTCTAGTAAGTATCAATGTCTTTTTGTTATTATTGTTGAAATGATAATTGGATTAAAGTATCGATAAACTTTAAATTGATTACAAATTTTAAATGTTGACAGTATGGTCGAATGCAAAAGGATGAAGGAAGATGGCACACAGAGCGGTTCGGTATGTAAAATGAAATTGACATTGAGTAGTATTTAGTGTTAATGTATTGATTAAGAAACGTTTATGTTTAATATTAGGTGACAAAAGATGTGAGGTCCAAATGGAATTCAATGAGTGATGCTGAAAATGAACCTTACATCACACAGTCAAGGAATGATAGTAAAGAATACAAAGAACAGATGAAAGCACATGAAAATAAAGTATTCATTAAACTTGTAAATACGTTGATACAAAATATATAAGAACTATAACATTATATATTGTTAAAAAATGTAGGAAGTGTCGACAAGATGCAACATTAAGAGGGTGAATTTATTAATTAAACATCTTAAGGAGAAGGGTCAGTTGAATGTGCTGGGAGAAATAGGTTTTGGATCGTTGGTAGGAGTAAGGGATCGACCTATTCGGAGGGAATTGTGTTGATCCTTGATGGCGCAATTTGATGTCAGACAATGTA